AAAATTAATTAAAAGAAAAAAGAGTAAGCTAGTTGAACCATTAATGATATCTAACATTCAACACTACTCTATTTTATCCAATCTACAAAACAAGAAAGCTAATATTATATATACATAGCTATTCTAAATAGCCTTGAATATAAAAACAGATATGCTAAAAATAATGTGCCAGGGTTAAATATTAATCACTAAATTAGCTAAATTTTATTAAAGTCAAGCTGAAGATGAAAGAACAACATCTATATATTGTGAGATCAAAGTAAAAGAATATCCAATAAAAAAGAAAATTAAGAAATTTGGCAAGTTACTTAAAAATAGCAAAAGTGAAGGATCAAATAGTAATGACAAAGGGGAAACTGAAAAAGAATATGAAGAAAAACAATTAATAAATCAAGCATATTTATATCAAGAAATTTTTAATGATTGCTTGCCTAAGTATTATCTTGAAAATCAAACAATTAATGAAGAAAAAGATAAGAGTTTTAATATAGATAAAATAACCGATGAACAAAAATATCTTTTAAAAAATTTGTTAGAAAAATATAAAAACATTTTTGTATAGGATTCAATATAGTTAGGAAAGACAATGGTAGTTCAATATGAAATTTATATTGAAAATAGTCTATCTATAAGACAATACTTCTATTTTATATCTAGAGTAAAACATGAATTTATCTACCAAGAAATTCAGAGAATAAAGGATAAAAATTTAATTTAATTATCTGTTAGCTCCTGAAATTTACTAGTAGTCTTAGTGAAGATGAAGAATAGCAAATTATTTTTTCGTATTAATTATTATAAACTCAATAAGATAACTAAACACAATAGTTACCCTTTACCATGTATTAATGAATTATTAGATGCATTAAAACTAGGGTTAGGAGCACAAAAAATTTTTTGAGCATATCTAAAAAGGTATACCTTAGCCTGAGACATGCCTTTTATATTGTGCTCAGAGCATGTCTCTATATATAAATCATGTGATATATATAATATACTGGTCTATACATGATTATCTGAATTTTCTGGATTATTTATGTTGTATAATATTAAATTAGAAAAAATTCAGATGATCAAAAATTTAGATAAAATATTTTTAACCGTGTTATAATAATCCTAATATATGGATATCTGAATTTTGATCATCTGAAGTTTTATCCAAATTTGTATAAACTTTGGATAATCAAAAATTCAGATATCTGTGATATATAAATTCTAATACCAAATTTTAATGATTAGCAATTCAGATATTCGTAACTTATAAATTCTAATATACTGATATCTAATTTTTTTTAATCATCCACAATATGTATTATCTATGTGCCAATATAATCATAATATAGTACTTCTATTTTAATTTATTCACTTTCATATTTGCATAGCCTCTTATTAGTTTTATCAATTAATTTCATACATTTCAATCAAGAAAATATTTATTCTTAAATACTGTATTTGTTAATTAATGTTTATTACTAAAATGAATATTTTCTTTATAGGGCATTAATTTTTTCCTTTGCTCTATTTCTCAAGGATCATGTCATTAGTGCAATACCTTATCTTGTTGGTAGATAGATGCCTAAACTATTTTTGGCTTGCTGTAAACTATTTTTGTCAAACTTTTTTTATTATTATTTCATTGCAAGATAATTATTGATTATTTTTTAATTACAATATTTTTTGTATATTGTTACTTTATACTTGCCTACTAATTATTTTTTTTATTTTTTATATTAACCTGATTTGCTATTGTTATATATAACCATTTTTGGCAGATGGCAGAAGATGAAACTAAATCTGAAAAATATCAAATTGGTAAAATGGTAAATCTTAGTAAAATAGTAGAACCTTGGCAGAATAGCAAAACTCCTAGTAAAGGTAAAATCCTGGAGAAAGTCAAAACTCAGCGAAGATTAAATTTTATAAGATTTTAGTTCAATTATAATATTAATAAAAATTCTCTATTTATTTATATTCTTTCTAATTAATACAGGCTCAAGCTTTCTTTAACTAGTCATTTTCAATAATTATAGTATAATTGCTG